CCATAAACACTTATGTGAGTAACTTTTTATGTGCTCGTCCTGTTCAGGTCAATGGGATTACAGTCATGTGTGAAATTATTTATTTGTATAAGTGTTTGCAGGTTTCTCAGCTGAGATCGCCTTGAATGGCTTATTGCCTGCTCACTACCTAACATGAGCTTACAGGATTTAAAAAAAAAAAAAAAGAAAGAAAGAAATTTACTAGGTTATTTTTTAACTATAAGTGAAGAATTTTGTATTGGGAAGGTAAAATTTGGCAGAGTTTGGATGCTTTCCAGGTTCTGGTTTTTGCCATACCTAGGAACATGTGTCTGTACTGGTCCTACTGAAGTTTAGTAGGACAGCTGATATTCCTAAAGAAATATAAATTAAAACAGTTCTCCCCTGCTTCTGACCCAGCTTTCGCTTGTCAGAGAGTTTCCTGCTCTACTGATGCCGCTGGATAATCTGACCCAGCTTTCGCTTGTCAGAGAGAGTTTCCTGCTCTACTGATGCCGGAGTATAAAATCCAATGTTTCCTCAGATGTGTTTATTTGCATGATGCTTTTGCCCAAGCCCTAGCAAAGGTTGGAACAACCACGTTAACTTCTTAACCAGGGATAGGCACTTGACTTCAAGCTCTCCTGAATGCAGTCCGTTGTCTTGCAGCTTTTCTAGAGCAACCAAAACTCCTACATCAACAGTAATTCACTACTACATCAATAGTAATTCTACTACTTCTCAGCATCCAAACTTGGCAGAATTATTAGTTTCTTGCAGGGCTTTCTGTGTTACGGTTCCCGTAGTGTTAAAGATGGGAAAATAAACGTCCTAATTCTCGTGTGAGGCAAATCCAAACTTTTCCATATGGAAAATGCACCGTGATGAGAGCTGAAGTTATCACAAGTATCTTTTGTGCTCGGTAGGAGAGAGGTAGGACATGATATGATGTCTTGGAATCCTTATCTTCTAGCATTTTATGCATGTACACATACTCTGATTGCAGAACATCTGCAGTGCTCTGCCTGGGCATGGAGTGGAGAATTGAAGACCAATTTTAACCAAGTTATGGTCAGCATGAAAGAAAAGTGTGGGATCCATGTGCTTCCACATGCTGCGTAGTGCTCGAGAGACCAAGAAGATAATGTCTGTGATCTAGGATGTCCCCGAGTCACAAGCTGCTGCAAGACTGTTCTCTTCTCCTCGACATATGCAGTTAATCCCTGTCAAAGTCCTGGGTGGGTTTTTAGTCTGATCAAGTGCTTTGCTTTTTATTTTGAGGGTGGGCAGTATTCCCTCAGTAAGTAAAGAGCAAATGAAGAACATGGACACGAGTGATTTAATTTCCTCCAACTTTAGCAGACTGTAAGTTACGCATCTCTGCTGAGCTGCTTATCTCTGCCCTTCTGGGTCAGCAGCAAGAGAGTTTTTTGAACTGAATTAATTACTGTGCAAGATGGGTAGGATGAGCTGCTGTCTAGAAACGTCTGTGCTTAGGCAGCAAATCTTGGCCATTAGTTTAGACTAGACATTTTCACTTTTAAGCAGCTGAAGTTCACTCACCAAGACCCAAATGTACCACTCCATTTTGATATTAAGTTTAAGCAATGTGCCCCTCATTATGTAAGAAATCTGTAACGGGTCCCCAAATAGAAAATGCTGCTGAGTAGGATAGCCCTGATAAACTTTTAAGAAATGTGGCTCAGTCTGAAAATATGGCCATGGCATTTTTTTGTGCTTTGAGTTGAACACTACCTGAATATACAGACTAGCTATTCAATAATTACTTGTGTCTATTTGTTGACTGAGAAAAGCATTGACGTTAGCAGTAGAGAACTTGCTAATTATTTATCAAGGGATTAGTTGTTTATTAAAGGATAGTGCAGTAATTCCAAATGGTGCTACGTTACAGCACTGATTTTTTTTACTGTATTTAAAGAAAGGGCCATTGCTGCTTTGTCCTGAGGAGAAGCAAGGACTTCTCAAAAGTAGTTTCATCTTTAGACTGTAAACATATAGACATGGAGAGTTGTACATCTGTAGCTATATATGAAAGAGAACTTAAATGAATTTCAAAGGACAGCCTGATCCAAGAAGACAAACAATTTTGTGATAGCTTGAGCCTGCTATAGGTTTATAAGCTCTTGGCATATATAGGAGCTCAGTTGATCACTTGAACTGCAATTAAAAAGCAGAACAGGTATACTCAGAATATTGTTTTTGTGTCAAAAATGCTCCTTTATGCTTGAAAATGATAAAAAATTGCAATCGATCCTTACAACTGTTGTGTTCATCTTTATTGATCAAGCCAAAGAAAGATAAATTGCAGCCCAAATAAGATTATAGTAAATGTTAGCATCGTAGGGGAGGGCAGTATGATAGAGAGCTATTCATCATCATCTCAAACGGTGACCTGTCCACACTCGCCCCGTCGTCAGGCTGCTGTCTAATCACATACCTATTGATTGCATCTACGGCCAAGAAACCTGGACGCGACGGGCACTGGGCAGCTCAACGCAAAGAGGTCACGGGTGTGAGGAGGATTTCATTTTCATTTTCTTACAGGCCAACAGTGATTTATGAAAAAATAAATGACCCCAAGTCTCATGCGTGGAAACCTTGGTTCCAGCGCACAGTGACTTATGAGGTCTGAATCACAGAAGCAGGAGTGCAGTAGACCACCGTGCTCTTTGTGATCTGTTTGTGGCCTTTGACTGCAGTATATGTTACGCGATTTGTTTTAATTTGTGGTAAAATATTAGATTCAAAGTGCGATTTTACTCCTGTTCTCCCTTGCTGTTCTTTCCAGTAATTTCTGTACGTGGCAAGTTCACAAGAAAGAACTTTGGAAGATGAGCTCCTAAAATGAGAAGGAAAAGATGTTTTTGCTTTTCCAGTTAAGGCTGTCTGTTCTGAAGTTTTCATTGAGTGGTTTTGCCTCAGCGGACTATCTTAACTGGATTCCTCATAACATTATTTGTCACAGATAAATGTATTTCAGGAGGTATTTACTAAAACACTGATCAAAGAGCCTGTGTTGTCTTTGGGTTTTGTGAGAGTGATCTTTGCGGTTACAGGCTAAGATTTTGGCAATAGTGTTTGAGGTAGATTCCCTTTTCATACAGCAACGCCTTGAGGAAAAATAAAATGAGGAAAACTAAGATGAAACCGTGCTTACTTTACCCAAAATGTACTTGGAATGACAGTTTCTTTGGACTGCCTTGTGCCATCCAGTATGCTAAATGTTTTGAAGAGGCCGAATCATGTCATGACGTGGATAACCTTAAACCAAAGTGTTAATAGGTAGATTGCTAGTATTTACATTTTAAATTTCTTTTGTGCAAGTTTTTGTTACCGTGTTAACATATTTTCTTGGGATGCCAGATGACTCAAAATTAAGACAGAATTCTAGCTAATGCCAACAAACCCTTTATACATCTCTGCAAAATAGTGTTTTCTGTATGCCCCGTTGTCAGAGAAAAATTAGTTTTCAGTGCAAGTTTTTGTTACCGTGTTAACATGCCAGATGACTCAAGGTGCAAAATTAAGACAGAATTCTAGCTAGTGCCAAAAAACCCTTTATACATCTCTGCAAAGTAGTGTTTTCTGTATGCCTCGTTGTCAGAGAAGAATTAGTTTTTGAAAACTTTTGAACTGCTTTAACTTTTTTACTCCTCCAACTGTGAAGCCAGGTGCTTTAGTTATTCTGTCTTAAGTCCAACTGTGTTAGGGCTATAAAAACCTCTTTAAAAACACCAAACATATATTATGTAGACATAAAGTGTCAGGATATTATAGTCATTTGTCTTAGAATATTGTATGTCCCACTGAGAAGCTGTGACACTTTTAAGTATTGAGAAGTTTTATTGCTTGATGACTCAGTCTTGTCTGGCCTGCATTTTGGAAATTAATGACTTGGAGATACTGAATGAAAGGTTTTCCCTGGTTTAGAGGAGAGAGAAATATGTTTGGAAGCTGACTTATTTAAAAAGTAAAATTAGCAATCGATCGAAGCAACCTGGAAGCTTGGCATGTTAAAATAATTCTCTGCAAGATGTGTTATCAAGGCAAAAGGAGAAGAGAAAGTCAAATCATGGTTAATTTATTGTGCGACTTTGAGATTTGATGTGAATATCACCTGGAAGCTATATGGAGATCTATGTGGAAGCAATGCAAATATGCACATGCAAAAAAAATAAAGATTCAGTGTTCGGATATTATTTTTCCTCCCAAAGGAGAGAACTCAAATGTCCTAGTACCACCTAATGCTGAGCATCTTATGCTTTGTATAACCTTCCTGAAAGAAGAGGACACGCTTATCAAAAACACCTGTGAAACTGAGTTGTCTGTAGAATGTTTTTTTTGAATTTTAAATTCATAAAATATCATAGAATCATAGAATAGAGTCATAGAATGCTTAAGGATGGAAGGGACCTCCAGAGGTCATCTAGTCCAACCCCCTACACACGCAGGGTCACCTAGAGCACGTGGCACAGGACTGCATCCAAGCGGGTTTGAAGATCTCCAGAGAAGGAGACTCCACAACCTCTCTGGGCAGCCTGTTCCAG